TATTTTTAGTTGGAGATGAGTTTTTATTCACTGTTCTGTTGCTTACCCCCAAAATGACTATCAAAATGATTATTCACCCTCATGAGTCTGTGTGTCACCAGCACAGGGAGGGTTGCCTGTGCTGTTTTTAAACACAGAGCCCCTGGGAGCAGAGGACACATTCTAGTTCCAAGCTGCTGAAGACAGGCTCCACCCAGCCGCCTTGCAGCAGCAGCCTACTCCTGGCTCTACAAAGGCCTGTCCCAAGGGGAGTTGTGGGTTGAGGAGAGTTTCAGACAGTAAGGAGGAAGATCAGTCCAGGTCTGAACTTGAACAAAGATTAATGCTGACAGCACAGTTATGAGACTGTCAGAATTGAGAAAGACAGCTAAGACACTTCAGGCCAGATCCAAACTCTGCAGGACAAAGGACATGCAAGGTGGGATGAACTTTACAAAATCACAGAGGGCAGAATTGGTCTTTGAGGAGTTGCTAGTCTTTTGTTTAAGAGTTTGGTAAATATCTTGGTAGAGAAGTGGATGAAACCCAGGGTTCTCACAGCAGGAGCAGGTCATCTCTTCCCCCCAAACTGGCCCTGATCAGGAATATCTGACTGCTTAGTCACCTCACCTACTAGCCTGCCAGCTTGCCAACCTGCCAGTCCATCCTTCCTACTCACTCTCAAGGTTCTCGTAATAATTCAACTGTAAACCTAAAAATTTACAGCCAATTTTGAAAGAGATGCATCCTACCTCAGGAAACCGTTAGTCAATTGTGTTGTAATGATATGCTTCTTCTAAGTATGTTGTTATTAAATAAATCATTTTTAAAAATAAAAAAAAAAGTTTTGATTTATTTTTGTATAATGTGTATGAGTATTTTTCCTGCATGTATGTAAATACACCTGTGTGTGCAATGCCCATGGAGGCCAGAAGAGGAAGTGGGATCTCGTAGAACTAGAGTTGCTGACAGTTGTTAACTGCCTCGTGGATTCTGGGAACTGAACCGAGGTCTTCTGCAAGAGCGGCCAATGCTCATAACCGCTGAGTCATCATCTCTCCAGCCCCTCAAGTCCCCAATCTTTAAAGTTCATTTCCAGAGTAGTCCAGGTTACTTTACTTTCTTTTTCTTATGGTCTCATATTTTACTTTATTCCTTCTATTCCAAACTTTTGTCTTTTATACATTTTAGGCCCTTTCCTAAGCCATTATAGGAGAATGCAATCTTCTTTTTCAACCCATGCCTGCTCTTTCCCATCACATTAGTTTGCTAGTGGATCTCAGAGATCTGACAGTTCTTCCAGACCTTATGCTGCAGAGATACTTTCTTCAATTTTGTGCAAAGCCTACTGACATCCCACAGTGTGTCAAACACTGTGTTAGATGTTCATATAAAATGAACAAAGCACTATTTCTTATTCATCAATTATGCTTCAGTAAATCTGGGACAAAAGCAGTATTTCTCCTAGGAGTAGTTAGTTCAGTTCACACACACACCTTGGTGTGACATGGAGAAACAGAACTTCCTCTGGGGGAGTTGATAAAGATCCTATAGGAAGTGACATTTCCATTAATCTTGCTATATAAATTTACCAACAAAAGGATATGGTCAGAGAAAGGAAAAAAGAAGATAGGGTGTCCAAGAAATGGGAATCTGGTGTGAAGAGGCTCTGAAATGAGAGAAGAAGGTCCTGGGGTCTTCAATTGGCATGGGTGGATGTCTGGCATAGCCAGTGCAAAGGAATCAGATTGGGAGGGCCCATTTGAAATATAGGGTTGAATTTTATTCCAGAGGCAAGAAGAGAGAAAAGAAACTGTTTAAGCAGGACAGTTAAATGACCAGATTTGTTGGGACATTACTGACCCAGTTACATGGTATCCTGGATTTGGCATCTGAAAAGGGATGTGTTCTGCTTGCTCAATCATAACAGCCTACTTTTCAGGTCTAGTAATTCAGTTCAGCTTCAGAGTCTACTTGTGCCAGTAATGTAGGCCCCACCCTGTCCTCAAAATGTCTAGCCTATAAGAACTCCACAAACATAGCTATAGCATTTGTGAGACCTGTTGCTACATCATGACATAAAGGAGGGCATGACAGTGTGATGGTGAATCACAGAATCTAGAATCACCTGAGAGATGACCTCTGGACCTGCCTGTCAGGGATTATTGTTATTCTGTTAATTGATGTGGGAAGACCCATCTTAATTGTGGGAAGGACCATCCTTGGGCAAGGGTAGCTGAGATGCATATATACATCTGTTCTCTGCTTTCCTACAGATGCAAGGTGACTAGCTTCCTCAATGTTTCCCCTGCAATGACAGACTGTAACTTTGAGCTGTGAGATGAAATTAACCCTTTCCCTTTTAAGTTACTTTGACCAGAGTATTTTATCACAGCAACAGAAAAAGAAACTAAGACAGAAATTAGTATTGAGAAGTGGGACTCTCACTGTGATAAACCTGACTGTGTGGTTGTTAGGCCTTTGGGACTATTTTGTGTCTGGAATGTGGATGATTTTGGAAGTTTGGGTTAGAAAAGCCTTTGAATGCTACAAGCAGAGTTCAATGGTCCATGCTGGTTGGAAGACAAAATAACACAGCGAATAGAAAAAAGCCCAATTCATGGAGTTTCGGGGGTGGGGGGAAACTCTATCAGGACCTGGGTTAGGGGCCATTCATGTGACATATATTTTTAATTTATTATTTTATGTTTATGAGTGTATTGCCTGCAAGTATGTACATGCACCCATGTCACACAATGCCCGTGGACTTCAGAAGAGGGCATCAGATTCCCTGGAACTGGAATTATGGATGGTTGTTAGCTATCATGTGGATGCTGGGAGTTGAACTCATGTCCTCTGCAAGAGCATCCAGTGCTCTTAACTACTGAGCCATCTTATATCTTATTACTTTTATGTATATGAGTGTATTACCTACATGTATATGTGTCATGTGATATTTTGGCCAAGAATCTAGCTTCATTCTGCCCATGTACTCAGAACCTGAGTGAAGTTGAATTTAAAGATAATGAACTAATTTGATGGAAGAAAGGCATGTGAGCAGGCTTCTGTGGTCCAATGGGGCCAGACTCCACCATGAGCTGTTAGCAAAACTTGGCAGCACCATCTACATGCTGGTATTTTTGAAGGCAGGGAGAAAACAAGATTGAGGGGCCATGGAGAGTAGCTGAGACCAGGCATTGTGTGACAGAGTTGGAATCCCTGCAGAGAGACCCTGTGTAGAGCTGTGAAGGTGAATCCTCTCTTGCAATGGAGAGTCCAGGATACTGAAGATGCTGGAATCATGGGACATCTGCCAATGAGTGCTGTGGACTTGAATTGGAGCTGGCCTAGAAGAGAATCTATGTGTGTGCTGGCATAGTCAGAGGAATGGGGCTACCTAAGCCATTTGGACCCCAGAATATTACATTACAAGCTCCAGATACCACACATGAAACCACAGGATTTGATATTTTTCCTGATAAATTTTAGTTTTGCTTCAGTGTGACTATTTCTTAATAAGCTCCACTCTTCCATTTGGAATAGGAATGGTTACTTTGTGCCATTATGTTGGAAGTATGCAATTCATTTTTTTTATTTTCATACATTTTTATTTTTCACATTTTATTACATGGGCCACAGTTATGAAACCTTGGACTTTTAAAGTGTTGAATTGTTAAAAGACTGTGAGAACTTTCAAGGTTGAATTGAACACATTTTATGTTACAATATGGTCATGAGCCTATGGGGACAAGCGAAGATTACGACTTAAAAGTGATATGTTTGGGGATCAAATTGATGAAGAATGCAGTTGCGATTGATAGTGTTATCAACTTGGCAGACTCTAGAATCACCTGAGAGATGCGCCTGTTGGGATTGTCTATGTTAACAGGTGTGGAAAAAACCCATTTTAACTATGGGCAGAATCATCCCTGAGCAAGAGGAGCTGACATGTAAGCATTTGTCTATTGCTTCTTTACTCTGGGGGCAATGTGACTAGCTGCCTCAAGTTCCTGTTACTTCCCCCACAATGATAGGCTGTAACATTGAACTGTGCACTGAAATAAACCCGAAATAAACCTGTTCCCCTTAAAAAAAAAAAAAAAAAAGTCTAGGCTAGGCCACGCGTGGTGGTGTATGCCTTTAATCCTAGCACTCAGGAGGCAGAGGCAGTTGAATCTCTATGAATTAAAAAATTTTATTTAACGTTGTATGAGTGTTTTGCCTTCATGTATGTAATGCACCACGTGCGTAGGGTGCCCATAGAGGAGAGTAGGATTCCATGCAACTGGAGTTACTACAGTTACGGACAGTTGATTGTCGCCATGTGGGTGCTGGGAACCAAACATGCGTTATCTGGAAGAGCAGCCAGTGCTCTTTACCACTGAGCCCTTAAGCACTCCAGCCCGGTTTTTTTTTGTTTGTTTGTTTGTTTGTTTCTTTGTTTGTTTATTTTGTCTTTTCTTTTTCAGCCAGGCTGGCCCTCGAACTCTCAGAGATCCGCCTGTTTCTGCCTCCTGGGTGATGGGATTAAAGCGCCCCCGTGCCCAACCCAGCCCAGCGGATGTCTTTAAAAGCATCGCTCCTGATTTGGCTCTTTCTTCCCCACACTTTAATCCCTTGCACACACCACCAGTAGCCACACCCACCAAAGAAATTGCGGAAACTGGAAGTGTATCCTTCACCGCGCACCGTACGACGGTGACGTGCGCAGGCGCAGTTCCTGGTTCCCGGCGGCGTGCTCCTTTTTCCGGAGTTTCTGGTATCCCGGCGGTGAGGGGCGCCGGCTTCTCACACTCCGTTCTCCCGCCGTTGGCTCGGCTCCGTCGCCCCTCTTTCGAGCTCAGGCCACTGCTCGGCCCTCACGCCGCCCCCACGAGACAGGCTCATGGCGGAGCGCGGAGACCTGGACCTGACGGGAGCTAAGCAGAACACCGGCGTGTGGCTGGTCAAGGTAGGACCGCGAGCCCCGACTCCGGGTCGGGGGAAAGTTCTGTCTCCTCAGAGCGGTCCACCTTCTCAGCCTCCCACCTCTCAGACGCGTGTCCTGCTCTTCTCTTAACAGAGAGCTTGGCTTAGGGATGCAGAGCATTTTCCAGCCAGTTTCCTATCGAATGCTCCTGGCTTGGGGATTTCCTTCCCCCCAAGACCTGGCCTTCCTGGGGTCCTGCCCCAGTGTCCCCTGAGTCGAGCGGTGCATTTTACCTCAGGCCAAAGAATTTCCCCCACTTTCTCTTGGTTAAGCTGATTTTAGTCCTGGGTGTTCTTAAGTTAGTGGAGTGTCTGATTTCTGTACAGTTTTCTGGACCACAAAGTAGAACCGGTCCCTGTGTAAATTTTAAAGCGTTTTCTAGGCTGTTAGTCCTGAGCACAGCAGTAGAGCTGAGAGATCTGAATTCAGAAGGAGAGGCTATTGGAGTGTTTATAAGAGCAAGAATGTGTCTCACGAAAATAGCCATCAATAAATATTTTACACCAACACGGCAGTCTTTCCTAGTTCTTAGGGGACGCTATTTGGGTTACTTTTTCACATTGGGCAGTGTTATCTCTGGGGAGTTTGATATTTTAAAAAAGACATTTAAGTATGGTTATGAAAGTTTCTGAACGTCAAAAAAAGGAACTTTGATTTATTAATGTTTTATCTTCAATGTTTAATTGATGTGATCATTTTAATCACATGGCTGAATTCTCATTAATCAGATCAAAGAGATCCTTTCTGCCCATCTCTCTGAAACAGTTTTTAATCACTGGGCAGCATATCAGACCTGTATTAAATTCTTCAAAGCACTTGTCACCGTGTGACGTGATTGAGTTCAGTGTTGATTACACCCTCCCCCAATACACACACACAAAATCACTATCACTTTCTTTGCACTGAGAAACACTCTCGTGTTGGATATGTGTTATTCACGCAGTGTGTGATGAATGAATGCATGATCTCTCAGTCTTCAACTCTTGCTTTAGTCTCTAGCACTTCGCATCTAACAGCTATATGGGCATGACTTAAAATGACAGGAGCTCTTGGCAATTGACAGCTGCTAGGAGAGGGACAGTCCCTTTTCTTTAAGGTTGATCAGGCTCCAGGAGGTGGGCCCACCTTTAAGAGCTTTTGGGAACACAAATTAGTCTCTGAAGGCCTTTAAAAAATAATAATAGAGGACATGAAGTATGGCGAAGTAGTAAGGTGGGGGCGGGGATGGGGGAGGATTCTGAATATGATCAAAGTACATTGTATGAAAAATATAAAATACATTTTATGAAATTCTCACAGAGTCAATAAGCTTTTTTTTTTTGGCTTTTTGAGACAGGGTTTTCCTATAAGTACCAGCTAGCTTGGCGCTCACTATGTAGCTCATGCTTGCCTTGTTCTTACAGAGATCCACCTCCCAAATGCTGTGATTAAAAGTGTGTGCCACCATGCCCGGCCTAATAAAAAAAAATATTTTTTAAAGATAGAGTAAATGGGTATTTCTTTCTCCAACTCTCTGTTATATGGAAGAGTGACATTAAGGAGATTCCTCCTTGTACACCAAAGAAAGGAACTTGAAAAATGGATGGGACTCAGGGCTGGATTGATAGTTCAGTGGTTAAGAACAATGATTGCTCTTGTAGAGGACCCAGGTTTGATTCTCAGCATCCATGTGGTGGCTAACAACCTTCTGTAACTGCAGTTCCGGGGGGTCCTATTGCCATCTTCTGACCTCTGAGGGCATTGCATGACACGGATGCACTTATGTATATGCAGGCAATACACTCGTACATATAAAATAAAAATAATAAATAAAATAGTTTTAAAAATTGATGAAACTTTAGATGATGCCTTTGTATTTGGAGTATGGTAAATGCTTAGTAGATGTTTGCCTTACTGGCTTGGATGGGTGGACAGCAGTGTAATGAGACAGATATGCCAGATTTGAAATGCTTGATAACCTTGTGAGTCCTGGAAAACAAACAGGAGACCCCAGAGCAGAAGGTTGTGTAAGTAAAGGTTGAGATCACAGTCTCAGACTGTCAGATATGAAATGAGAATGCCCTCATGTTAGTCTGTAGAAAGTGAGAAACCCTTTGGAGAGTTCTTAGTAAGACAGGGAAGAAAAAGGTTATTTCAGGAAAAAAAATAGATTTGGCCTTGTGCAGTAAGGGAATGGTAACCACAGTTAATTAGAATTAGAAAAATCTCCGAAGGTCATAGGTATGTGCCAATGGTACCTGAAGAATTAAGGAAGCTTATCCTGTAAAAGTTACTAGCATTTGGTGACAGCTTTTACTGACGAGAACTCAGCTCAAGCCAGTGTTTGTACTTGTTTTCCATGCTGTAAAAAGAATGGAGTGTTGCGAGAATTGAGCTGTATTAATACTAACCAACTTTCCTAGCTAACAGACATGTTCCTGTTCCAGTTACCTTCCTCTAAACAATCAAAATAATATTTGTTGGGGAAGGTAGACATCAGTCTCTGTGAATGAGATTTCCTTCATTAACAGCTTAACTACCCCCAAACTCAACTTTTCCTTCATCACAGATGAGGAAGTACTTGGGCATTCATTGATGGCAAAAAACTATGTCAGAGAGAGATGAACTGGAATGGGTGGTTGGTTTTTTTTCTTCTTTTGAAACAGTCTCTGTGTAGACCAGGTTGCTCTTGAACTCAGAGATCCTCCTGCCTCTACCTCCAGGGTGCTGGGATTGCATGCCTTTAATCCAAGTACTTGGGAGTCTGCTCTACATAGTTAATTCTAGCCCAGCTGGAGCTACAGGGAGACTCTGTCTCAAAAAAAAGGGGTGGGCTCCAGTTAATCTTGTCAACTTCATTGGATTAAGAACACTCTAAGAGGGGCTGGAGAGATGGCTCAATGGTTAAGAGCATGAACTGCTCTTGCAGAGCACCCAGGTTCAATTCCCAGCACCCACATGGCAGCTAACAACTGTCCATAACTCCAGTTCCAGTGGATCTGACACTCTCTTCTGTTTTCCTCAGGCACTGCACGACATGGGTGCACTTACACACATGTGGGCAATACACTCATACACATAAAATAATAAATAAAAATTAAAAAAAGAAGGAAAGCCTAAGAGATTAGTGAAGCATACCTCTGGATATGTTTGTGCTGTTTCCAGAGGCAACTGGAACATGAGGGCTGTGATCTAATTAATGGTTTGATCCTGTTTTAGTTACCTTTCTGTTGCTATGATAGAAACATTGACCAAAGCAACTTATAGAAGGATAGTTTATTTGAGCTTACGGTTCCAGGGGAATTACAGTCCATCATGGTGGGGAAGAATGGTGGCAGGTGATGGCTGGAACAGGACCAGGAAGCAGAGAGCTCACATCTTCTAGCAGACACAGGAAGTGAGAGAGTGACTCAGGATCTGGCAAGACTTAAGAATCTTTAAGCCCAGGGCTGGAGAGATGGCGCAGCAGTTAAGAGCACTGACTGCTCTTGCACAGGACCCAGGTTCGATTCCCAGCACCCACATGGTGGCTATGAACTGTCCTTAACTTCAGTTCCAGGGGAATCTGAAGCCCTCTTCTGACCTCTGTGGCATTATTGCATGACACGGGTGCACTCACATACATGCAGGCAATATGCTCATACACATAAAATAAAAATAATAAATAAATTTTTTTTTAAAAGACCTCTCTAAGCCCACTCCTGGTTGACATACTTCCTCCAACATGTCCACACCTTTTAAGTCCTTCCCAGACAGTGACACCAACTGGGGATAAAAATGTCCAAATACTTGGAGCCTATGGGGGCCATTCTCATTCAAACCACCGCAAATCCCTTGGTGGATTCATAATATGATGGCATTACTGGGAAGTTGTGAAAGGTGGGAGGAGGAGTTGAGTTGGAGGAAGCAGGTCCTGGTGGTATGTTCTTAGGGGTTGTGTCTTGTCCTGGTCCCATCTATATTCTCCTCTGTTTTTCCTGGCCATTGTGGTGTGAGCTGAACTGCTCTTCCTTACTTTTCCCACCATGATGGACAGAAGCTGGTGAAACCCAGAGCAAAGTAAATCTTTTCTTAAATTATTTCTGTCAGGTGTTTGGTTACAGTGACCAAAAGTCTGACTAATACAAATAATACAGCAAAGACTTGCAAGCACCAGGTGAAAAGAGCATAAGAGCATACTGTTCTCCCTCCTTCCATCCTTCATTGCTTCCTTTCCTTACCTTTCTCCCACCCTCCTTCCATCCTTTCCCTTTCTGTGGTCTAGGCAGACCTGAAACTTGCTATGTAGCCCTAGGCAGACCTGAAGTCGTAATCCTCCCATCTCATCAGCGTAGGACAGGGAACCTGTGTGCCTTGTGTACTATGTATGTTTTGAAGCAAACCTGTGAAATAGAGACTACTAATGTTCTCAGATTTTTGTTTTATTTGGAGGGAATTCAGATAGGGTCAGATAGCGCTGGCTGGCCTGGAACTTGCTTTGTAGACCAGGCTGGCTTTGAATTTATAGGGAGCACCCTGTCTGGCTCTCAGATTTTGATAAATTAAACCTTAGGCTGATCAGTTATCTTACTTGAGCATGGAACAGTGATTTAAATTTTATTGTTTGACTACAAGGTTATGTCATTAATAGGAAATGTCATTTTTGGCCACTTGGCTCTGGACTGGGTTCTGCCTCTGTAGATTCAAAGGTGGAGTGAAACTACTTTGTCCTTATATTGTTCATACTCTGGGACAGGGCTTTGGAGACTAGTAATTGGGCAACTAGCTATTGAATGGAACAAAGTTTCCAAAGAAGCTTAGGAGATTAAGGACTATATAAATCACCTTAGCACCTTGGGTTCAAAGGTGGGATTGACCTTCCTATGCCACCTAGCTTGAGTGAGTAGGTAGACAAATTAATTCATCTATTTACCAAACTTTCAGTGATAGCTCATTACTGGGCCTGGTTGGGTATGTTATAGTGGGCATGATAGACAATCCTTGCCCTATAAACTAAGGCTTAT